ATGTCCTGACCTCGCGCCAACGAAGGCCGCGTCACCTTCTCCATTTCGGGCCAGTCGAACTACAAACAAAACCTCCGATCCACCATATAAGGCTACGAATTGTAATCAAGTGAGGTGAATGGCCGGGCTACATGTGGTCACAGAGCGAACTAACGGCGCTGTTGCACAATTAATGTTTTATATTTCAGTGACACGCTCAAATATATGTGAACAGAGATAAGCTATCAATCGCGCGCGCGCTACTGTTTACAGTCCTTTATCATCTGATACAAATGGAAACGTGTAACCTTCCTACCCCGAACTCCCAGAAGATATGAAATGTTATGTTAACTGTTGCCACTGTGCAGGGTACCCAAGTTTGCTAAGTAGTACTGTAGTTCCTGAACCCGGGTCGAAACTTACCACCCTTTTCTTTTCCTCACAACAGTAAATTTGAAATCCTTATGATCTTTATGCTTATACAGTGTGGTCAAAAACAAATCCCCGTGCATGAGATGCGGTGACCATATTCTTTAGTGCAGGAAGCAGTGCAGATGTCACGTGCTTAATTGTAATAAACTGCACATTAAATATTTTCCCCGAGGACGAATTTCAAAATAGTAATATATTTTTGAGAAGCCGTGCTTTTACATTTTAATTCCGCATCATCACGCCTTCGCCAAAAACAAGTTAGTGGTTGTAAAAGGTAAAGCTGTCCCTAAGTAAGCACTAGGCCATGAAAGCATATAGGGGAGTGGATGTATAGAACCACATTTTCTTGATCTCGACACCTGTTGGAGGTGAATGGTCAGTTCACGCTCCAGCCGCTTTACCCCCTATTGGAAAGGAAGTTGGGTGGACACCAGAGCCGGTCTAGACGACACTTAGAAGTGAAAATTCTTGACCTCACCGGGACTCCAACTCGATCCCTCAGTCGTCCAGCTAGTAGCTAGTGACTATACCGACTTCGCTATCCCGGCTCACAGTTCGTGGGCGTATTTAATGAACTGACACTCTATGCGTTACCGATTAAAGTATTCAGTGCTTAGACTGACGGTGCTACACAGAAATGGCGGGACAACAGATTCAGCGCAGTTCTGCTGCCAAAGACAGAATCATTTAATTGAATTTCACATTTACTGTGGAACAAAACATATAATAACCAGACATTAATTAACAATACAGCATTTGCGTGTCATTACTTCTCCTAAGTTTCAGCTACTACATACTGTAAAACTGACAAGTGGGCCAACTATTTACATTCATATGAGCCGGTATCCATCTTTCACTCTGTGCGAAATTTCTGTTATAAAGGAAGGAGCCGTAGCTGGTGCAATGACATATGAACATGCCTCCCTCATTGGGGCAGGGAGGGGAGAATGCAACAGGATCTAGCGGGGAAGCCTGACGAAATATCTTTATCCTACAAACCGATACAGCCAACACAGTCTTCATAATGTACGACCTACATTAACATATATAGAGATACGACTCTATACTGAACTCGCCAGCAGCAGCCAAACCCTGCTACCGCCCGTGAAAGGTTCCGACTTTGCGTTCGTCGAATGTCTCCGTGGTATTTCTATAAATGCACACCCTGTATAACTATACAAGCAACGCCTTCCATCGCCCTCTCACTAGCGGATGTTCCTATCATCACTTCTTCCATGTCAGGTTTGGCATCAGGGAATGGAGGTTCGCAGCAGAAGTGGCCGGACGTTTTATCTGAAAACGTCCAAAACTTCACTCTATGACATTATATTCTCCGTCCATTACATGAACTGTCAAAGTGGTTAAAATTCCTGCTTCATTATCGGGAAATTTCCGGCACCGGGAATCGAAACCGTGCCTCCTGGGATAAAGCCAGGTATCTTAGTCACAACACCGCGCTTCAATGTTGGCGTAGTAATGTCTATGGTTGTCATCAATTCCTTTACATTCCATGTAGTTCACAGGGCTCATTAGGCTAAGGTTCAGTCAATTCCAAAACAAAGTAATTCAAACGGAACATCCTATACACTGAAGATGGACGCAGAAGTTTCTTCCGGAACGATAACTATCCATAAGTCCACACGGTGGTATAACCCAAAGTACCATAATGTGAATCTTGGATTGCGTGAACACTTCGAATCTAATGCAAAATTTGGTCGCAAATGCCGTGGAACACAAATAAATGAGAGACCTTATGGTTAAGATGGATTTGGGGGAAATGGGTTCTGGGGACTGAACTGGTTCAGAATCACACTTGATGGCAGTGACTTTCAGCGTTATACTACAAGAGGAGAGGGGGAGAAAATTTGTTTGCGGACTCATTTTTACTGATATCTAGAATAACAATACAAGAAAATAAAAAAAAATATTTTAATCTTCTGTATATTTCCTTTTTCATTCAAGTATGATTTCATCCATAAACTCCACTTGATTACAGCGCAAATCAGCGATAATGGACACCCTATACCACGCGTTTGTCCGCTATAACAATGCTTTACTGTAATTTTAAAGCTTAATATTGAGCTGACACACTAACGTATCCATGAAGTTAAAATACAGGTACATAACACTGTTATAAAGTTTAAGCATATGTTCATAGCATGTATGCGAGATGTTTCCTCTGGAGACAAACAAACCAGAGGGGCGAACAGAAGTGACCAGAGGATGAGGAAGAAGATGTAAGAAGATGCTGGATGACCTTGGGGACAAAAGAGGATATTCTCATTTGAAGGAGAAAGCTCTAGATCGCATCAAGTGGAGGAACTGTTTTGGAAGAGACTGTGGACCTGTCGTCTTGACAGATTACTGATGAACGAATGAATGTTCATATATCTGGGGACTTGACGATGGAAACGTGTTGAAAAATGTCACTGGCTTTGCAAAAATGGGAACAGAATATACACGGTGTGACAAAAAAAAATTATATATCTACACAAAAATACAAAACTGCATAAAAACATACCTTTCTAAAACTCTGTCACCCATATAATATACCTCACACTAATGAACCAACTAATCTAATTACACGATACATTTCGTTTCATCATGTTAAGCACAGCATGAACATTAATTCTATGCAACATTCTACTCTGTTAGACACAGCATGGGGTACAAGAGACAGGCTAATACTGCGGAAGACAATATTATTGAGGAATACAAGTCACCAGGGCTCAAAAAACCCATTCCTGTGCTCATCCATGACAAGTGAAAACTATGGCCCTCAAGTGGAAAAATCTCTGAATTTATCTGTGAATATTCTCTTCCGCTCTCTTTTTTGTTCCTTCACAGATGCTGAGCAGTAAATTTGAACACTATAAGATATCTTCTGTACACGTTACATGGGAACCAAGTCGGCCCATCACCCTGCTAGTGGCGGTCCCTGTAAGCAGCAGGCTATGCTGGCTGGCTGACAACTGACTGACTGATGGTGGCGAGTGGCTACCTTGCTGACACTTACGTAGCAGCAAAAGAGCAGTGAAGTGAACAGTGCCCCTCGGATAACACAAGCTAACATCCTCTTTCCCCCCACACAGAGGGCTCTGTGGGGAGGATAGCATATCACCAGCATCATGTGGAATACCTACAGAAAAGGCCATGAAATAACTCTCCAAAAGGGCTACTGCAGATACCCATGATTATTTCTTTCAACCACCTGGCTCACTGTGGTCAGACAAGTGGTATCCATGGATCCCTGTTTAGAGGGCTCTGGATCCATTCCACACGCTGGAGGCCTCAACTGCTGCATCTCCTGAGACCATAGAAAAGCAGCCAAAATGTACTCATCGCTCCAGCAAGGGGTCTGTTAAGGTTGAAATATCTACTGAAGGGAGTGAGTAACCCATAACTGGGAAGAAAGACCAGCTGCAACCATTCAAACGGCTCTGCCGTGTCTGTTGGTACATGACAGGGTGGGTGGCTGCAAATACTCCACCAGCAGTTCAAGAGATGAAGGGACATCTCAGGGTTTTGATCATGTGTCCACCATCTATATTCAGGCAGTCGAGAGATCACTGAAGGTGTCTTTCACAGAGAGTGGATATCCAGAGGAAAGCATCAATGTGGAGAGACTGGGGAAGAAGAACGATAGGTTTCCTGAAGATGACACTCTCCTGCCAGGAGGGTCAGCATGTCATGTATGCTGTTCAGCAAGCTTTCAGGGGTCATTCCAAAGCTGACCTTGCCTGTGACACGCAGACTGAGTCAGTTCCAGAATTTTAATGAACGGTGGCATGGATCGCTGGAGTGGCAGGACACAGCCACGATTCTCAGATTATAGTGCCAGAATCAGTCTGAGGACAGGCTATGTTCGGTGTTTTCTCCAACAACATGTTCTGAAACAGTTCATTGACAGTCCTCTACTCAAACCCTGCTGTAATAACAAGGGAGATCCGATAGCAAGACAATAATACAGTACATTTTACACATGGCTTATCTTAGGCAAATGAGAAACAAATACAGAATGATACATAGTTCAGGTTTCAAAACTACACCACCACCATGACTGATACTTCAGAAGGGGCACTTGAACAGCTGACACTGACTTTGAAAGAGAAAATGTATATGCACAAAAATGACACAAGAATCAAACAACAGAACAAGTCAGCAAATTTAATTAATCAGGATATGTTATCAGGTGTAAAGAAAACCCAAAAGTTGCTTCTGAGATTAATTAAGTAAAGTGTCATGAAGACATCTGTGGTAGTAGAGCGTTAGTTCCATACGTTCTGAATCTCAGCACTAGATGCAGGTTAGTGAGCTCCACTCTCTGGACACTCAACCCACGGGAGAGGAAGAAGACTGCAAGGGCCACTAAACCAGTCTAGATGCTGCAGAAAAGAAAATCTCTGCATCTTCCAGAAATCAAACCCTGATTCTTTCGTTGTCCAGTCCATACCCTTGTCACTGCACAGATGGTGCTATTACGGCTCAAATTACTTCAGCATACGGAAATGTCTCCTTCATAAACACTGACAACAGTTTAACTCTTTCAAGCATAACATTTAAGTAATATTTAAAAATTCAGTTCATACCTTACAGGAAACATAGTATCTCTCCATTACAAAGACAAATTGGTCAACGCTGTTTATGGAAGTAATTGATATTTGTTCGGATGATCACACAAAACACATAACCTGCATGGGCAAAATATAAAGTTATTTCATGTTAACTGCCTACCAAACTCCTTGCAGCTCAGACATTCTTAAGAAACCAGTCCCTCACCTAGTCAAGACATTTCAAGCTTTTATGGAACCGAAAGCCTCCTCACCATGTCCACAAGAGCTCTCTCAAGTACCTATCTTATACCACTCAATACAGTCCCAACATTTTAACTTTAATATTATCTTTCCATCTATGCCCAGGTTATCCAAGTGGACTCTTTCCTTTATGTTTTCCTACTAGAACTCAGTATTCAACTTCAAATCTCGACATTAACACACTGTTACGATTTCTGGATGTGTGACTATAGATGAGGTATGTGCCGAGGTATGAATTTATTGGCTACCTACATCACTCGGGAACTATAAGCACTTACAGCGCTATCACTGATCTCAGCACTTTACAAATCACTCTCAATCTGCTTCACTAGTCGTTTCCTGGCAACGAATTTTAATGATGGAGATTCTTCAGGTTATGTGGTCACACCATTGCCTGCTGGTTAACACTCCATAACTTAACTTGCTGCTTCAAACTGTCCTTCTCATAACATCTTGCTATGGACCACAGGGGAAACACCACGGTTCCAACATTATGTCTATTGTTGTGTATGTATTCATTTCCATAGGAATGTGTTTACTGAGCAGTTGCTTGGTAACAGCTGTTTATTAGCCTATCCCACAGTAATTGCATAGCAACAGCTACACACACTACATTATCTAACTAAGCATGTAACAGAAGCTTTGCAAATTATAACACTGCTCTCTCTCAAAGTCCACATGTGAATCAAATATAAACACTTGGGCCATGTCAGTATTCATTCTCAAATTAACCTTCATGGAATCAAATTACTAACCCACTTCTCGTAATACAGAATTATCCTGAACATATTTGAGAGCGAATAAACTTCACAGCATTCTGAGAGACGCAGAACATGACTTACTGTAACAAACACCCCCAAATCCACAGCCCTTGGAATAAACGAATTTACGACCCAAGCAACTGACATGTGTGGATAAGGCAAATGTTCATATCACGCATTTCCTTCATGATTATGTTCGTAAAACTACGCGCTTCTTGTACACACTGACTAACATCACAATAAATTTCAGAACTTCTTCCAAACATCACAAGCAAACTCACTTGACACCAGCACGATGAACCAATCTGTAATGATTGCTCTGTTCTTAAACAACAGTTATCACACACTTATATGGGTTGGAAAGTAAACTTAATGAATATTCAAAAAGAACTTCTGCCACATGACTACTGGACCCGAAGTTGATGCTTGCATCCACGAACATCTAGTAGTACCAGGACAGCACCCACCTGGTCCTAACAGTTTTAATCCCTCTGTAAAATTTATAGTTGGTGCTTAGGAATCACAACTGTCGCTCATTTCGGTAACAAAATATTAAGAGTGAAAATACAATAAATGAAAAAATATCCCCTTGCATGACAGTCCGGATATTCCAAGATACCGCTATTAGTCATTCACACATTCGAGATCATGGCGGTCAGCTAACGGAAAGTGAATCAATGGGGACAAGCACACGAACCAGTGTTCTATGAAAGCTGCTGCAAATATAACTACATTTCAAGCAGTATACAGCATACAAACTAACTGCGAGGCAAAACATGAATTCTTACCTCTAAACATTTACAAACTTCAAGAAAATTACATCCTGAACACCCTCATACTACAACACTCCACTCCTGCCATTGCTGCTCAACACACGCCTGCCCCCTCAAGAGAGAATTTCGAAATAGCAGTTTGAAATATCAGCGATAGATGCTGCTGTAGTCTATTTCAGATAGGCGTGAAACGTTGTATTAGTTAGAGATATATATTTGTTAATATTAGGAAAACAAATTGACTGGTATGTATCCATAAAGCTTAATAATGAACATATTACGAACTGGGTTAATGAAATCGAATGTCCTTCTTTTCCTCCTCTAATGAAAAGCCCAGACTCATGTTACATCAAAAATGGAGATATCAGCAAGTGTTGAAGTCAGTGGACAATAAACACTTGCCACACGATTTGTAATGCAGAAATATAAATTTAAGAGAATGAAGATCAAAGATTAAACAACTAGGATTGACGATTTTAGGTTTCAAACACTACGAACAGTTTTTCGCTACTATAAATTTAAAAATGCCATGTACGCAGTCCGATTTAAATACGTGACGATCTACTTGCGGTTTAACCACGCTGATAGTAGCTCAGATAATAATAACAGCACTGAATGGTAGGATGATAGTAAATTTTGAATTGAGAAGGATGACAAAGGGAACGTCTGTAGCCTAATTTGTGGTCCAATCGCGGCATGTAGCTGGAGAATGAGGAAACCCATGAACGCCCATGAAATCCTATAGTCCGTGTTCCCAAGCGGGGATTTGAACGGGGCCCCACAAAAATACAAGTTAGAAGAGTTTCTGCATGAGGCAGCTTTTTTCGTATTAACTGCACATTAATTAATACACTTGCACGGTCTGATGAAATTTAACTTATCCGCAACACGCACTTAACGTGGCAAAATTGATTTATTAGTATTGGAAGTAATTGCCGGCATGGATTCAGCCAGGAATTTTGTCGAAAGGTGGGAGGGGGGGGGCAGAACATTTCCCAACGCACTTAATTGTAAGGCATTTAACAGATCGTTCCACAATTGTGGATCGGTATATTGAAACATAAATAGTGCCAGAAATTGTGTTCAAAATCCTCCATTTTTAATATTTTGCATAGTTGATTCTTTTATAAATTTCGTGTTTTCCCCCCCCCCCAAAACACAAAGAAGTATAAGGCTAGTTTGCCATTGTAACGCCACCCCTGCTGGAACCCGTGGTTGTGAGATATAATTTTAAAATATTCAACTGTTCATAAATACTGTTCATAATTCAAATAATTCAGATGTGTATGCCATTGTAATCCCACCCCTGCTAGAACCTGTGATTGTGAGGTATTATTTTAAAATATTCAACTGTTCATAAATAATATTCATAATTCAAATAATTAAGATGTGTATTTTATTCCTGTATTACAAATTTTTATAACTTCCATGTAATGACAAGAAATAATTGATGCATGACCTGTGTGCATCGATGTACTTCTGACATAAACATTACTGTTCGAAGTATATTTTAAAGTAATGTTTGCAGTGTCTGTACTATATAGCACTGAATGATAAGATTGCTGAAGAATTAGGAAGGATTTGTAACGAAATGGCCATGGCCTAACTGAGGTACTATCCTGTCATTCTCCTGGAGAGACTGAGGAACGCCAGTTTCAGAATATCCAGCGTCCCAGCTAAGATTTGAACCAAACACCTACAGCATAGAAGTTTAGAGCTTGGTTATTTGATTTACATGTTGACATTGTTGTGTTTCTATGTTGTGTCATATTGCCATTCATCTAATGCACATAGAAAAACAGATGTAAATCAAAATGTCTTGATGTCTCATTGTAAGCAGCCTAGCAAACAAAGGAAGTGTATACTGTTATTTTAAATCATATAAAGCAGTGTATTTATGTTGATTTCATTGATGCTGAAATGTGTCTTATAGTCAGTGATGTTCTCAAGCTTTTCAAGTGTTATTTGATTTGATACCTCTGAAGAACAAGGGTGCAAAAGTGTAAAAATTGTAATGAACACACACACACACACACACATATATATATATATATTGTCGCGTGTTGGGTATGTCACGCGACAAATAACTTCAGGTAGCCTTCGGATTCAACGATTATTTATTGAACTCGCTCATCCATACTTGCTCAGAGCCAGGAATACAATTCCTATTACTTGCAGTATCACATTTATTGCCTCCACTGCAATGCTTATACTGCCTTCTGCGGCTATGACATCTCAACTGTCCTTGGCCGTAGCTGGATCCCAACTGTCTCGTTCATACATGCCTAACTAGCTCTGCTTCAAACTCTCTTATATGGGCGTTCTGCAGAGCGGATACCAGACACCATTCCTCACAGATCCGTTTCTGCTTTTTCGACAGTCCACTGTTGCGCAATGAACCTTCTGTTGTTCATCTCCAGGGAAACGCGTTCGTTGTTTCAGCATTCTCTGTGCAATGGCCCACTGTTATTGCGTTACCATGGAAGTACCTACTCCAAACACATTACAGTATATACCCCCCATCAAAATTGATTATTTATTAATGTAATGACAGCAAACTTCAGAAAGAATAATTATTTTTATGGCATAGAACAAGGAATGAAATACAAACAGCAGTGTTGGAAGAAACCTTTTTGTATGTGTGCATAGAATGTCACAGACTTCGTGGGTAATTATTTGAGGATATCTACTGATTACTCTGCTTTCCAGAAATTAGTAAGAATATGTTTTTAAGCATGTCTTATATTACTTTAGAATAAAGTAACAACTGTTACCCTGAAAATGGAGGCTGTACAGTCCTCATAAATATTGGCACCCCCAACCAGATCACAGTGTTTTATCCCGGCAGACCACAAATTATGTCTCCACTGCTGCAAAGACCTCAGACCTCACATAAAAAGTCACAGAGTTACAACTTTTCCACTGTTTTTTAACTTAAAAGAACCATTATTAGGTGGATTTATTAATTCTCTATTTGTCATGTAATCAGTGTACATTTAAGACTTCAGTACAGTGAAACACTGTATAATGTTCCTCAGTTTAAGGTTTTCCCTCATTTAACGTTCAATGTCAATGATCCAATCTCATTCTCAGTGTTAAATTATCTCCATTTAAGATTGTCCTCACTTTAGTGTTCAAATGCACTGTTTCCCAGGTCAGGGTTACACTGTAGTTTTTTTAGGATTACTGTATTTGTGGACATTATCCATTGTAGAGTGTTCTGAACCACAAGATGTTTCGTGAGCTGGATCTGCTTCCATCCTCAGGTGTTGGGAGGGGTTAGCTACTTGATTTAGTCCAGTGATTGGGATCAGCTCTTCCTAATGGACATAACTGAGTAGATGCACTACACCCGAGGACAGGAGCAGGTACACCTACTGAAACAGTGTGTTCAGGTTTGGAATATATTATGATGAATAAAGTTTACTACACCATCATCAGAATCGAAGCTTCTAAGCTGAAGAGGACTACATTGAAGGATGTGACACCATGTATTCTGGCAGGAGTTCATAAATGTTTAGAAGGAACATACTGCCTCCATCATCAGGGTAAAATGTATGCTAAACAAGCAAGAAGCAGCAGCAAACTGAGTCATTTGTTGCCTACTTAGCACACTTCAGGCCTCAAGATGCAGGCAGTACATTCTGAAGGATTATGCATCACATTCCAGTTGATAGCACACTTTGTAGTCACTGCTGTGGGAACTTGAAATTCTGCTTTTCCAGTTTACTTAAGTTTCTATTTAGGTTATCTGTCCTGTTACATTTTGTATGAGGCCTGCCAAGCTACATATAACTTTTGCTCCAGGCTTGTGTAAACTTTGCCCAAGAGTCATGTGTAATCAATCAGATGATAATAAGTTGGGAACATACCAGTAATCACTTAATACTATATGGTAGATAATTCTTCTGAACTGAAACCAGTTTCATTAGATCATGACCTTTTAATCAGGAACCATTCTGTAGAAGGTAGTCATTATCTTGTTTGTTTTAAAAGTGATGATCGCATTGCCAGTGTATAACAGAATCTGCCACACATTGAGAGCTTTCTTATCAACACAGATATCTGTGTTCATGTCTACCATTACATAACATGAGATGCCTGTTATGCATGTACAACTCATCCTCTAGTTAACAGCTGTGCCTGCTGGGAACGTGTGATTTTAACAGTGGTAATTATTTAAATCCTTATGGCCTATGATAAATCAGGATTAGATGATGTATGTTTCTAATTGAGAGAAGTAAGGAAGGTTATAAGCTGCATAATTTGTACTTGCATTTTGAGAAGCTTAGATCGAGACAAACAGAACGGGAATAATATGAACGAGACAAGAAAGGCATTCAGAATATCGGTTATGAGAATACATCACTTGGGATTACTGTCTTTATTTTGTACTCATCTATACCAGCTACTTCAGTTCTTCATTAATTTTTTGGTTATGTATTTCAGCATTATGATGCCATAATCAGACACTGATGAAAATCTGCTTTATGTAACAGGATATTTCTTCAGCTGCCACAAAAAAAGTCTTTCTCATGAGAGTGAGTTAGTCAAATAGAAATTAAACACAGATTTATGTACCTTACAGTTAAGTTTATTTCAGTCCAATGTGACATATAATGCTTCCACCACTTTAGCACCTAGTTACCCAACATGTTTCGATTCATAATGAATCATCATCAGAGGTATGCCTGTACGATCAGGAATCCACCAATACGTAAAAGTTTTTAAGAGTAGAAACACTTAAGACATTTATGAGGCCCACTATATGTAGTTGTTGGTTTTTGTCATATAGATGTTGACATCATTTTTTTTTTTTTTGTAATAAGAATGTTTTTGAATTGTATTACTTAGAAGTGGCGTAGTTGCAATCACTTCCCTAATGGATAACTAAAAATGTTCCACTGTATTTTGTGTAAAAAATTCAATTTGTTTCACCACAGCAACCTTCCTTACGTTAAAATTATGTTTATGAGTGTGTGTATAAACTTATTTTAAGATAAGAATTTTACTCGTGAACCAATGTGGGTTGGTTTTATCTTCCTTGGTAGAGGAATTGTCATCTATCCCTTGGTGCTGTGTTCTTGTTATTAACGGTGTGGTTTGCATGCATGCTGTGCTGCTTATAAGTCACATTGGACTGAAATAAACTTAATTGTAAACCCGTTAGTGTGACGGACCAGAATGAAACAAATTAAATATATGTGCCTTATTCTCCATTTTCATTATCTTCCCCTTACCCACCCTCTCCAAGTATAATTAGAATGGTCAAGTCAAGGAGGGTGAGTGGGCAGGGCATGTAGCACAAATGGGGGAGAAGAGGAATGCATATAGGATATTGGTCAGAAAACCAGAAGGAAAGAACCACTGGGAAGAACAAGGCATAGGTGGGCAGACAATATTAAAATGGATCTTAGAGAGATAGGATGGATTGGTATAGATTGGATTGATCTGGCTCAGGATAGGTACCAGTGGAGGGCTCTTGTGAACACGGTAATGAACCTTCGGGTTCCATAAAATGCTGGGAAGTTCTTGAGTGGCTGCAGATTTGGCTTCTCCTCAAGAAGGGCTCACCTCCATTAGTAAGTAAGTAAGTAAGTACCCTCCTCTTCCATCTCTTTTTTTATACTTCAGTCCCTCCTCCGCCATCTTTCTTCCCCTCCTCTGATCAAGATGGCTAGAGTGGTAACATTTCTGACTTCTGATATGGTGATGCCCAGTTTGAATCTCACCTGGGACACTGTCTACCCTGACTGAAGCTTTTTATGGTTTTCCACCGTCTCTCCAGACAAGTGGTGGGGTAACACTTCAAATTAACGAACAATCATTTTATTTCACACACTTTCCACTGCATTATTTACTTATCATCCTGCCATTTACTGTTGCATAGTCTGAGATACTCAATGTGTATGCATATAAGATATTGGTGGCAAAGCCAGAAAGAAAGAGACTACCAGAAAGACCAAGACATAGGTGGGTGGATAGGATTAAAATAGATCTTAGAGAGATAAGATGGGGTGGTGTGGACTGGATTGATCTGGCTCAGGACAGGGACCAGTGGAGGACTCTTGTGAACACTGTAATGAACATTTGGGTTCTATAAAATGTTTGGAAATTCTTGAGTGGCTGCACAACTTGTGGCTTCTCAAGGAAGGCTCGGTTACATTGAGTTAGTAGGTTAGTCTGAGATGCTGACAGCATCATCAGGTAAGTCAGAAATGCAATAAATACAGATTTCTTCACCTCATTTTTCTTGTTTCCCCCCTCATTCTCCTATTTCAGCTTGTCCACCGCCCTCTCCTCTCCTTCCTCAGCTCCCATTGCCACTTCAGTGATGTGACAAGCATTGTTATGAGTTCAGGTGTATCTTTTTGATCCCGTGTAGATGGCTACTCGCTGGGGCATAGCCAGTGCTGGCAAAATAAGTCATGACTTTGTAACAGCACTGGGCACCCTGCCACCTGACGAACATCATGTGGTTGCTGTAGCAGCCCAAGAACTTGATCGGGCTAAAGCATTTGCAACTGAACACAACATTCCAATTGCATATGGCTCATATGAAGAACTTGCAAAAAATCCTGATGTAGGTGAGTTCAGTACAATGTTTTGAAGTGCATCTTTATATCTGATGCAAGCAGAAGCACTCATTCTTTGTCTGGAATGTTGTTGCTTTCTCAGTATGACAGTATGCAGTAAATTTCATGTAGACATATGCCATCTGTAAACTGGTTATTGTACCAAAGAAGACAGCTTTGGTCAGATCATGAAAAATTGAAGTTTATTTATATAATTATAAAAACATTGGGAATGAGGATTCAAATCACATCCAAAAACAATGTCAGTGTACTTGCACATCTCTTTGACATCCATGGTTACTGTGCATATTGGCAACAGTACAGAGCAAATTTCATGTGTCTGAGTGATCTGTTAGGTCTCCAATAGGAAATAGGGCACAGAAATGTTACATTCTAATATATATCAGTATAAAGCAGAACCTCCATTTAATGTTCCTTGATTTAAGGGTTTCACTCATATAACTTTCAGTTCCATTCCTCCCAAGGCAGTAATCTAAAATTAAATTTTTTACATTTAAGATTATCCTCGGTTTACTGTTAAGATCGACTGCTTCATACACAGTCCTTAAATGGGGGTTTCAATGTAGGTAATCAAAATGCCAGCCAAGTAATTACATAGTTGCATGGGTACTTAGTGAATTAGTTAGCAGAGTCACACATTTTTCAGCATTTAAAAGTGTAATGGATGTAACACAGAGGTGGTTTACATCGGGGCAATCAACACGCTGCACCTAGACATTGGAAAACTGATGCTCAGCAATGGGAAGCACGTTCTTTGTGAGAAACCCCTCACTGTGAACTTGAAGCAAACCAAAGAGCTCATTAACCTTGCCAAGGAGAAGCAGTTGTTTCTTATGGAAGCTGTATGGTCACGCTGTTTCCCAGCATATGATGCTCTCAAGAAGGAGCTTGAGGCCGGCACGTTGGGGGAGGTACTGCAGGTGATCGCCAGCTTTGGCGTCGTCATTGAAGACGTCGAAAGGTTCAAGTATGTCTCCCATATTGTCACTTGAATTTAAGCCCTTGAAGCGTGAATTTCACGCAAATAATGTCAGTCCCAGAGTCAAAATAAATGCAGTACATCTCAGTTATGAAAATTGGTTAGTTAATGTTCTTTATGAAAATAATTATTCATTATGAGACTCATACAAAACACATAACCTTTTGGGAAGTGACACTGTATTCCGTTAGAAGTTTGCTGATGCTACAGAGGAATATACTGCATCTATCTTCAGGGTCAGAGAGTAAGCCAGGCAAGCAGACTAAAGCTTGGACCTTCTACCGGACTGCACGGCATCACACAAGCTGAGTTCTGCAAACATGAATTTGTTTAACACAATTTCTTCATGACTTCACTATATTTCTTGAAGTCCATGTGTGATTTAACATATTTAACCTTACATGTGACTCATCTTGTCACTTGATGCTACATAACCTTGCAACTTTTGGTGAACTAATTGAGTATCTGAATTCTGTAGATTGAGAGAGTTGAATGGGGGCACTATTCTGGATCTGGGAGTGTACCTTCTTCAGCTTGCACAGTTTGTGTTTGGTCCCTCACTACCGGAGAGCGTCGTGGCACAGGGAGTGCTGAATGAGAATGGTGTTGACTCAAGCACAAGCATAAGTCTGAAGTACAGAGGAGGGAAAATGGTGACTGCCTGTACCCATGCAAGAGTTGAACTACCCAATGAAGCATTCATTGTTGGAACAAAGGGTACCATTAAAGTACGTACAGTATAACAAGGTTTCTTAAATTGTGCGCCGTGGCCCGCTGAGGGATCATGATTTGCTGTAATAGAAGTCACTGATTTATCAAGAATTATTTCAGATATGTAGTTATATCTAAACACAGTTTCAGCAAGTTAGCAAGATTTAAGATAGGTGCTTTTCAAAAATGTACAAGTAGTTGCAGCTGGTGAAACATTTTCTGGATCCTCTGAATGCTATATGAACATTTTGTAGCTTACTGTAGGTGCAGAGTAGCAGGAAAGTTTCCTGCTGTCACTGTACATCGTGGGGGGGAGTGTAGGTATATGTATTGTTTAGGTGTCATGGTATCACTAAGTTTGAGAACCCATCAGTGCTAAAACCATGGTTACATTCTGTGCCACTATGAATATGTTTAACGGGCATCAGTGAAAAGAAACCTGTATACAATATTAAGATAAATTATGAACTGATTCAAGATCACATTCTTCTGGGATATGATGCCATGCAGTTTTGTACATCAGCACCAGCATTTCAGAGGAGATACAATGCAGGCACCTCTCGAGTACAGAACCATTTAAGTCAAAATATGCGGTATCACCTTACCAATGTGGGTGGTGTAGACTTTGCCCTAGGGGATTATACACCCTTCCCTAGGCGAGCAGACCATATCTGGAGGCACTAGGAACCAGCCCACCAACCAACAAAATTAAGTTTTTTAATATATAGATGTAAAAAACACTGTTTCCTGTAAGAGGCATGCGGTAGTGTAACTGGTTGAGGTACTACATGAGGCCGCGTCATAGCTCAAGCGGTTAGTCACTGGCTTCCCACCGCGGCGGTCTGGGTTCGATCCGGACTGGTCAAGTGGGATTTGTGGTGGGCAAAGTGGTGCTGGGGCAGGTTTCCCCTGCCAATCTTCATTCCACCAATTGCTCCACAATTACCATCACCTATCATCTGGGGCTGGTACAATAGGTCAGAAGTGGCTGCAGTACAAGGGACTTAGTCCCACCCCGCTAGCATAAAAAAAAATTACTATGCTACATGCCAGAAGATCATGGGTTCGATTCCCAATGAGATCACTGGATTTTTCAGTTGACCTAATTCTTCCAGTCGCACTATGGCCCTGGGGTCGACTCAGCCTCTAACAGAAATGAGTACCAGGAATCTTCCTAGGGGTAAGGGGTGGTTGGTGCATACATTGATAACCTCACTGCCGTGAGCCGACTGTCTAGGAAATGTGAGAGCCTCGACGTCTCACTACCCCATGAGTCTCCACAGTCTGTTACAGGGATAGCTTTACATATACTATTTCCTGCAAGATGTAAATTTGTAATGATGGTATATTGATACAACTATTGTGTTTCTGGACATATCCACCACCCTGTATTTATTTAAAACACAAAACTTTTTGGAGACTGGATTCTGTCTCAATCTTTAGGTGGAACCCACTCACTTGGGCCCAATTTATAGAGCTGGTTCCTCCCTCCAGACATCAGCACCAACACAAGATAGGATATATAAACCAAGCACAGCATAATGCGCCTAAAGACGGAGACAGAATCCGGTCTCTGAAACACTGCATTTTAGGTAAAGCAGGATGATGGATAATGTCCATAGACACAATAATTGAACTGCTTCCTGTGATTTTCTTCAGGTACTCCGACCTTTCTGGTGCCCAACAAGTATAATCACCCCAGAGAAAACAAAAGAATTCATCCTACCAACTGCGTCCAAACCATTCAACTTTACCAATAGTGCTGGTCTCCGCTACGAAGCAGTTGAGGTCCGACGCTGCCTCAGACAAGGTTCTTCTCGTTTCTACAAGTATTAACCAAAGATAATGGGCGAAAATATCATTATGTTTTGGCATCGCATCCAATAGAAATTGGCATACAACTCTATATTAAAATCTTTCTTAATCTGATTGTGTATTGTGCAGAAAAATAAGCATATCTGCAATATGGATACACAGCTTGAGCAAGCTGCATAAGAAGCACTATTGCATACATTTGCATTAACAAATTTCATAAATTTTCTCAATTACATACCCGCAAGCATTTAGTCTCCTGGACAGGTACCAATGTTTCAGAGGAACATACTGCAACCATCTTCAGGGTAAGAGACATCTCAAGATGGAGGCAGTATATTCCCCTGTAATGTTTGTATTATCTACTGAACCACATGGTATCATGGCCCAGAAGACTGTAATCTCACTCTTTATTTTTGTTTACAGGTTTGTTGGAAAGTCCCAAGGTAACCCATGAGGACAGCCTGGCCCTGGCTCAACTAGAGGATGAGATCCGTTCACAGCTGGGCGTTAAATATGAACAGGATTAATGAGACAGATGGATTCCATGGCAGCATCAGCAAAGAATTTGTGTTAAAACAAAATAGATTTTGTTCAACTTTAGTCATGTATTTCACATTAATAAGGAGACATGAAACAAGAGGTTTTATTGGTAACAGCCATGGACTTTAAAACTGTATTATATCTGTGCTATCAATTATAGCTTACACATATGGTGCATGGGAAGAATTTGTTCCACTCAGCTGTTAGTTTGCTGGCTGATACAGATGTTGAATCACTGAATGCATGCAGAGTCCTGTTGTATGACACAGATTAATGTTAATGGATGGCTCGGTGACTTTATGATATAGAAACTTAGGAAGAACTTTGGATTCTTCTTCAACTGGAACACATGCGCAAACTTGTCGAGGCTATTAGTCACACATGCTTGTGAACTGCATGTTTTGACCATGAAGCTAAAACTAAACATTAGGGTACTGGCAAACATGGTTTAGAATAGAAGCACCAGGAGTAGCGAGTTTTACTCTGAGAGTGAATGTAGCTTAACATCTCACTCTTCAAGATCTATGAAAAGAAAGAGATACATACACTGAAAAGTAACCATGTTCAGAGTTTTAACAAATCTATGATAATTCTGGCCAAGAAATGTGAAATACAGATTACTCAGTTGGTTAAGGTTACCATATTCACTGCCAGTTATGTCACAGGATGGCAATTCTGGCTAACATCATGCCTTTAAAGTTTGTAATAGTAGATGTAATAGCCAGGATAGAAACTGGCTACGGGCTGGATGACCGAGGAGTCTCAGTAGGGTCAAAAATTTTCTCTTCTCCACATTGTCCAGACTGACTCTGGAGTCCACCCAGCCTCCTGTCCATGGGTAGTGCGGGCTCTTTCCTCAGAGGTAAAGCAGCCAGGGTGTGCAGCTGACCACTCAACTCCAACTAGGGCCAAAGTCAAGAAAATGTGGATCTATACACCCGCTCCCCCATACACCTTCATGGCATAGTGCTTAGTTAACCACAGGGACAGCTTCACATTTACCTTTAATAGGAGGTGTAATACAGAACCTTTTAAAATTGCTTTGAGAGATTTTTATGTAGACGGATGTGATACCATGTAGTCTGGTAGAAGTTTACTGACATATTGGAGGAACACATTTTCTCCATCCTCAGGGTCAAAGAGTAAGCCAAGCATGCAACCAGAAAAAAAACAGGTTTTGCATCCCTCTTCAATGAATTTTTAGTGTGGGGAGTAATTTTTTAAACCTCTTAAACAGACATAATGTATTACAACAAGGAAAAGGAAAGATGAGAACCAGGTTCAAGGAGTCACACAAAGAAGCTTATTTCAGAATATATATGTGTGTAACGCTTCTTCACATGGAATTCAGTGGTTATGTATACATGGCATTTCAGCTAAATACAATAAAAGTGAAAATTTTTATACAGATATCAGTAGGAAAATGTGATAGCTTTCCAATTTCCCAGATTAATTTGTTCGTGCTATCAATTTATGCATTCTGTATAGAACTTCTTAGAGAGTATTTGACACCTCTAGTACGTAGTCCTACAGTGTGTTCAAGAAAACCACTGGTATGGCAATTTTGGTTCCAATTGTTACATTGAAAATAAAATCTACTAACTTTCTAATGACATTATATCACTAGCCATGCATTCTCAGAGATTTTTTTAGACACAATATCTACATGAATGAGGTTTGTCAAAATTTCTAAATATGCACGCCACACACGCGCTCTATAAACAAAAGCTAATTTCACCATACGTGACTATTTCATGCATTAAATTAAAAGCAGTAAAGTCTCTCTACAACTGCTTATATATGTTTAAAATTAGGATACAGCACAAAAAGTAAAATGTAAGTAAATGGACTTATAATTCCTACAGCCTTGCAAAACATTATGGAAGTTTTCACGGAAAACAGATGCACCAAGTGTTTCTGCCTTCCTGTCGCCTAGTGTACCAATAAGAATGGGCCATCACACTCGCTGATGAGTATCTTACAATCACTGTCCACGTCAAGCCTGATTAAGGGGGCACTGGGCAGGTCTCCAAAATGTTGGCTTCTAACTCAAATTTGACATGGCTGCTTGCTTTAGATTTTCAGTGTTTTCATATCTGTAATGCTGTAATCAGTTTTTAAATAATACATAAGCAGACAGTTTTATTACAAATGGATAACTATATTATTTAAGGAAATCAAATATACATAAAGCAAAATAATGTAATCTAACAATGCCATGGAGAACAAGTGAACTACAGCAGTCTTGCAAGACCATAATATGAAGCTCCAATTCCACTGTTAGTTTAACAAGAAGCAGAAATAAAGCATAGCAGTACCACCTGCTTCAACATAAAGAAACTGCATTTTCCACACACAGTTTTAGTCTTTCATTTGAGTCTCACAGTAAAGAGTGATTATTTCCCTAAATGGCATTAACTGGTGGGTCTCTGTACTGCAGACATGTGCTTTCTGTGCGGTATAAACAAGAACTTCTATATCATTTAGACAAATTTCAGACTTCGAACACATCCCACAGCCGTCAGACAGTAAATGGTCACAAGCCCCAAATCACTATGCTAGCGAGGACCACCAGCAATTTAGCAGTCAGACTTCAAAGGGCTAAGTGCCATTCAACAGATCTGCATATAACTTTTATGTTTTGTTAAGTACAGCATTTCACGGCAAGAATATGGGCCACTTAAAACGATGCCAAAATCTACTGCAGAATAATTGAACTGTGAATGGTATAATAAACTCTGCAGTCACAAGTCCATGGTCATGACACATGCTGCTCAGTACTCAATCTGTCAGCACCCTGTGATCATGAGCTGAGGGTATGACTGAGAACTCAGTAACCATGGTGACGAGTGGTAAGCATAGGTTCATATGTATACCAGAAGTCAGTTTAATGGAAGCCATGATGATACAGTTATAATCCTTAATGTATTGATCACAATTAAGGGATGTTGAACTCAAGCCTTTAAAAAGCTATTAGAAGTTTTACTTTGAAGTATGGTTCTTCAGAGTAGTTGCTGGTGAAATAATTCTTTGAGGAATACCATGTTCTGGGTGTGATGCAGTGTACTCTGGTATAAAATCACCCATGCTCAGATGTAATGTATAGAACTGAAGAGTATTATTATTTTTTTAATGCTAGTGGGGTGGGACTAAGTCCCTTGTACTGCTGCCACTTCTGGCCTATTGTACCAGACCCAGATGATAGGTGAGGGTGATTGTGGAGCAATTGGTGGAATGAAGATTGGCAGGGAAAACCGAAGTACTCGGAGAAAACCTGCCCCAGCGCCACTTTGTCCACCATAAAACCCACTTGACCAGACCCAGGATTGAACCCGGGCTGCCGCGGTGGGAAACCAGCGACTAAGAGCTTGAGCTATGGCGCAGCCTTAAGGACTGAAGAGTAAGTTCAAGTATAAAACTGTGAAGCCCAAACAGAACAATTGAGAGCAAGGAGAATAACTAATACTGGACCACCATGTCTCTTATTGGTCACTGATATTCTCGCATCTTTCCACTTCTGCTATTATGTCCCTTCTAACTGACGACACTAAATATTCCCCTTGCTACTGATGGTTCTCTGTGGGCTCCTCCACAACCCATCAGAATCAGGTGTTGTACACCCAACTCACTATTTGCCATTTGCTGGTTGGTTGCTTGGCTTAGTCTTCTGCACTGAAGATGGATACAGTACATTTCCCGAGACATCAGTGAACATCCATCTGCCTACGTGGCGTCATATCCCAGAAGACAGTATTCTTCAGAGTGACTGCTGAGTCAACCACTCATCCAGTTAATTCTTTGATCAGTTACAGTGCTGATCAGAGAGCATATAAGATGATTCATGTTGTCTGTTACTCTGTGTGCTCTCAATTTCCTATCCTGTTATGCAGTACCGTTTCTTGTTGTGTAATGAGATGCACTGAACAAGAGGGCATTAAATTGACTTATGAATGAAAGATTCAAGAGTGATAATGGCCTTAAAACTGTATCTGTATCTCACCAAAAAAAAAATGAACAGCTAAACTAACATGACTTAAACAGACCATGAAGCCTCACATTCCATCCATGAATGGACTCCCTCAAGGTGGTCCATTCATTTAACGCCAGTAGCTTGTATCCTGCAGTTTACTACTCAGCTGAAAAATTTCAATCACCTCAGCTAAGGACTGAACTCAAGGTCATCTGCAAGAGGGCTTCCAAAAGTACTTCGCCAGAGAGATGTCAATAAAATTCACTCAAGTACCCCATGATGAACAGATATAATTTGGTTCAGCGATTATTACCAAACAGCACAATCTCTGGTGAAGCTCTTCCAAACACAGGAGTGTAGTTTCAGAAAACTGTGATACAACAGAAACACTTTGGTATATCTTTACAAGATACACATATATTAAGAATAAATCATAATGTGCACAGAGTATATGTACGTTAATGCTGGAATGCCTTGCCTCGCTGTGAGTTCAGTGGTGGTCCTTTTGCTCAGTCCCCCAAACAATACCGTGTGAACCTGTCACCAAGCAAGGCATCTGTACAGAGCCCTCGATGTGAACCAAGGACAGCAAATTCTGTGCAACTATGTCAATGTTTGAATCTGGTCCCATCCAATCACCTGTTACCATGCCATCCATACAGTACAACTCTTCTGGCAGAGCGATTGCCCTTTATTGCCTCTCTTGTAAAATGATGATCAATTACAGGGGTTTGTGTTAGGTCTGTAAAAAAAGTAAAAGTAAAGTAAAGCTATCCCTGTAACAGGCCGTGAAGGCCCATAGAGTTGTGAGATATTAAGGGTCCCACATTATCTTGACAATCGGCTCAAAGATGGCGGTAAGGTTGTCAGCCTTACGCGCCGGCTGTGCTTTACTCCCCAGGAAAATTATTTAATTAATTCCTGGTACTCGTTTCTGTTAGAGGCTGAGTAAACGCCAGGGCCTAGTGCAGCTGGAAGAATTAGGTCAATTGAAAAAAATCCAATTACCTCATCAGGACCTGAACCCGCGACCTTCCGCCTTGTAGCATAGTACCTTAACCACTATGCTACCTCGTATGTGTTAGGTCTGTAACCATCACTAAAACACAAATTGTACAAAAAGTTAGATGAATGTGTAATGTTATGTACAACTCCATAAAACCAGAAATAACATAAAACTATACTTGGTTACTGCAGAACAAAGCTGCTTTGTTACCTCTAACCTGTTATATGTGGGCAGGCTGAAAACTGTCATGTGCATTAAAAACATGTAAAATGGGAAATGGACACTGAGCATAATGTAAGAGCATGAAACCACAAGATTCAGTCCCAATGATTAGACGAGTCAGGGAAACTGCACAGTTCATTGTGCATACATGTCAGCTTTTACTGTGGCTGTGGATAGTACATTAATAATCTTCATGACAATGAAATAAGATATGTGAAAAAGCATATTATAAAGTCTCATCTAATGAGTCATACTATTCGATATCCCAGTTTCATTTTGCAAACTGCTTCTACTGTGCCCCTAAAAAAAGGGAGTTTCAAATGTGATGAGACTAGACACACCTAGAAAACAAACAGGGTAGTAATGCTTACCGCATCTTGTCCCTTAATGATGGAAACATACAGCTTCCAAAAATGTGGATGAAAAACTATGTCCAAAATATAAATTGAAGGGTTATGGGGGGCAGCCGGAAAATTTGCATACGAACTTACACATTCAAGCCAGTTAAGAATAATTTTATGGATCACCCTACAGTTGTGGGTCTCTATATTCCAACACATATGGTGCAACATTTAAAATTTTTAAATTTTGATATATTTGGCACATATGCTTCTTTTCCCAATTCTAGTATTCATTTTCCGAGAGTCTGCAAGGAGGGAGGGGGAGATTCCTGGCACGTAGTGTACTTCAGTAAGCATTTCACAAGAAATTGCTACTCCCATCTTCAAGACAGGAGACAGAGGCAACAGCTCTCCTGAAACGTTAGAAATGATCTACCAGATTGCATACTGTCAGATAAAATAAAAATCCTCAGTCACCCCCTCCCCCATGAGAACTTCAAATCTCAAATAAGACTCTTGGGCTAACACAGCAGAAATATTTTGATCTGCAATGACAAATGTTCTTGCAGGGAGCCTACAGGGGTGTGAGGCCATTCTCCAACACTCCCAGAAATATTATTCACAACTTTACATTATGTTATTTCGATTTTATTTCCTCTCCCAATTAGTTATTTCAATGTTACAAAGTTGGAAACACTTGCATTTTTTCTTGCATATAATGGAAGGATTGGTAATGTGAATTGATTTATCTCAACTAAAGGCATTCAAACATTTCTCTCCAATCTTTGACGATATTTATAACATTCCAATTTCAACACATGACATTTATGGAAATCCAATGCTACCTACAGGATTGTTATGTGAAAGATGTATAAAGTACAAGAGGCTATTAAGAGGTGCACATAAAGTCACTTCAGTTCCACATTCTATGCATGTGTAATCACAAAAGTTTACTTCAAATCACAATGTTTTTGTTAAGTATAAAATTTCTCTTCTTATCATGTCCACTGGGCAATACAGTATGAGGTCAACCTAGTCACTAATTCTAAGCAAAACAAACTTAACAGTGCAACCACCAAATTTATGGTACTGTCACCAGCAAGTTTTTCCTACAACATGAAGTACACAAAGACAAAATACTTTAGTTGATATTCCATTACATTAGTTGCCAATATTTATTAGTAACAGTGTACCTATCAGCTATTTCATGATCTCTTCCTGAATGTTTAGTAAATAATTTTCTTTAGACTAGCGACTAATATAATCAGTATTGGCATAACTTACAATAGATGACCTGAACAGCACTTTGGTTGAACAAATGTGCACACATTATTAAACGCAATTCAACGTTGATGTACCCCATATAGAATAAAAACTGTCCTCCTTTCAATGCAGTGCCATTACAATCATTGTCCATACGAAGGAATTAAAGATGATCCCCTACAATAACCAGTGATGTGCTCTGCACTCTTTATTATTGGATTCCAAATATATTAAAACAGCCTACACCGGCTATTCTTCTTCTTTTTCACTTGAAGGGCAGCCCTGGTTGCAGTTTCGAATACTTCCCGTACTCCTTCTTTGCTTTTTGCTGAACATTCCAAGTATGCGAAGGCATTAATTTTTTCTGCCATTGCCCTACCTTCTGCTGGTTTCACAGGTTCCTGTTTCATTTTCCCCAGTTCCTTGATGGTGTTTGGGTCATTTCGCAAATCCTTCTTGTTTCCAACCAGAATTATTGGGACGTTGGGACAAAAATGCTTGACTTCGGGGGTCCACTTTTCAGGAATGTTTTCCAAGGAGTCTGGGGAGTCGATGGAGAAACACATTAGGATAACATCAGTATCTGGGTACGAAAGTGGTCGTAATCTATCGTAATCCTCTTGACCTGCCGTGTCCCACAAAGCCAGTTCAACTTGTTTTCCATCCACTTCTATGTCTGCCACATAGTTTTCGAAAACAGTAGGTACGTAAACTTCTGGGAACTGATCCTTGCTGAATACAATCAAAAGACACGTTTTACCACAAGCACCATCGCCAACAATTACAAGCTTCTTCCTTATAGCAGCCATAACGCTAATTTTCTTCTCAAATGACCTGTAAACACCTCAGCTTCGCTTAGAAAAACTCACAACTTCTATATCCTGAAATCCTGAACGTCTTAGTCGGCCTTGACATTGCATCCAACATCGAAATCATAAATTGTCAAGCATTAAATATTTACCAATTTATGTTTTTGGGAATCAACATCACCCAGAACAGCACAAATATTAATCTTTAAGATTAGCAGTTATGATGGTTCATATGCACATAAATGTTTAATTCTTTACAAAATTATATTAAATATGTTTCCGTAACAGTATTGGTAGCATTGTGAAACATTTCGAGATGATTAATTCATAAAATGGTAGCGGCTAGAAATGTGGGCCACACCTACCAAATTACGTCATTACCAACGATATTTCCATTTGGCCAGAGGGCATATGATTCACCTCCGGAATCACGTCATATGGACGGTGTTTTTCGAGTTTGATTGTTGGTTGCCCTGTACGGCAAAAAAAAAATGAAGAATGCCGTGAAGCGCACGATAACATGAGTATATGTCATGAAAGTTAGGCTGTGTTTGTGATATGTTGTTTAAGGATGGCCCTCACTAGAGCAAGTAAACTCACCAAAGGATATAAAACTTTCATGCTCCTGGGTCAGTGTGTACCATCAGTAAAGCAAAATGCATCTAAAATCCGAGTGAAACGATTGGTGTTGGATGAGAAGTTACTAATGGTAAGTTCAAATAAATCGTACCTACGTAAATGAATATGTATATCTAATTAAAAATTTTCTGACAGTGATGAATCATTATTACTGCATTTTGTTTGGACTTCATCCATTTTAAGTGAACATAAGAACTTCTAAAAGGTACTGCTGGGATAGCGCAGTCCATATACCTACAGACTGTGGCGGCTGGACGTTCGGGGTTCTCATCGGAGGAACATGAGACTCTGTTTACTCTACAGCGTCCAGACTGCATCTGGGACCGACCACCCAACCTTTTTTCTAATAGTTACCGGGGACTCTTTCCCCGGAGCGTGAAACTGACCACCCCCATTTAGCGCTGAGGTCATGAATGGTGGAGCTGTACCTTCACTATGTCTTGATAACGCAGTGCATAATTGTTTAATTGATTAAGCACAGGGGCAACTTTAGCTTCTATCACGTTTTGGAGACAAGTTCTGTCTCTGCCGTTAGGTAAAACAAAAAGAAATACTTAGTCTAATCATCAGTAAGCCTTAGCTATCAGTCACTGAAGACAGAGACAGAGCTTTTTCTAAACTTTATAATGTTATATTTTAATCTCGCGTGAAGCTTGAAGTTCAAATGAAACACAGTACTAAGCAGAGACTTTACCCAGATGTCACTGCTAATTGCAGAATTTATTGACTCGATATCTGTCATCTTTCATTTCTGCCATGAGATTATGAAGGAAACATATGTTACATTAACCACTCAGCTTATAATTTAAGCCAAGAGATAAGTTTCTAGTAATTAGGCCCCTGAAGGCAATTGCAAGGATAGTACCCACATATTTGCCAGTAATCATGTTGCCACATCTTATTTGCTGCTAGATAGTTGTGAGTTTGGCAAGATAATAGTAGCACTCATTCCATTTCATTATAAACCATACAAAAAAATTATTTCCTCATTTCAGTACTTTAGTGAGTTCGAATACTATTACGCTTATGATCCAGAAAAAATCTGCAAGACAGGGGACATGGTTCTGATACAGCGTTTACCGGAGAAACTCACAAGACTTATCACACACAAAGTTATGGATGTAGTGTACCCATGTGGGGATATCACTGACCCCATCACTGGCAAGAAGGTTGTAGTTGGCAAGTACAGGTATGTATCACCGACCAGTGATTCATTCTCAGGAAATAAACATAATGGATGAAATGTGAGCTACCAAAGATTGGATCCTGTTTCTTAATAAACACAACCTTAAAAAGTCAGTGCAACATTGCACATACTTTCTCATATGCAATTGACCTTGATAGTTTGAATAGATATAAGAAGTCCTGTCTCAACTGATTTGTATTTAGCTCCGATAATTCTATAATTATTATGGCAGAGGTTTTTTGAAAGAAGCCCCTTCACATGTTCTTGTCCAGGAATGAACTTCTCTGTTTATCCAAACAGACTTTGTTAACTCATTGCAAGATAGTGTTTACTGATCCAGCCCTTGCCAACTGAAATGTTATGCATGTTTCAAAACTGATGGCACTGAATGTACATTACAGGGATGAAATTGAAGATGCCAACAAACTGTTCGGAGAATCAGAGAATAGGTTCCAGTATGACAAAGCCCCAAAGAGAGGCTGGCTTGAAGACAAGAAAGATTTTACACACAGAGAAACGTATATCAAATACCATGTATTTGAAGATGATGACCAGCCATATGCAGTGTGATTGTACTTATTTCAAGTAGAATAAATGTATGTTATTTACACCATAAAATACTTTATTCTTAACAGATACATGCTGCCACTTTCATAATGTCCTTGATACAACCTGCCAGTCCATACGCAATAAACTGCAATATGTGATATAACTGTGTTATTGTCAGTAGAGTGAAACATGTCATCTCTTTAACCAATCCAGTGTCATTTCTTTTTTTCTTGAGCTGTATGTATTGCCCTCTCACATGATTTTCATAACATCCATATTCAAAAATATTTTACTCGAACAAGCACTGCATATAAGTGGGATGGTGAGTTTACATGAATATAATGCTGTCAGCATGAAATGAGGCAAATTTCCCTCGTCAGAATTCTCCACATATGATAACTGCTCCTCTCTCTCTAACCAAGAGATGTTCATGGCTCAGTGAGAAGGAATTACTTTAAAGTATACAATTTTTATTAACATATAATGCTTAAAATACAACAATTACTGATTGGTAACAATATTTTTGTTTCAAATGAACACAACAGTCTTGAATGTCATGGCTGTGAACACTTGTCCCAGTATTCTTGCCGCTCTCAGGAAACGAAATGGAATCTAAAATACAAAGCACATTATTAGAGACATTTTGAATTTGATTCATGAAGGACTTGCAAAGATTACTATCTTCTGTAATGTAGCAGCCTCCATCTTCAGGGTGGACAGCAGGTTCCTCCCAAATGTCAGTAACAAGCAACCAGATCATTGTGATGAAGTGACACAAGTAATTTTAAAATTTGTGATAATGTTGCTCAGTATGTTAGTGCTGCCAGCCTTATAAGTTTATTTGTATAAACAAAACCCAAAGCCTAACCTGCCTCATATCCTTGAGGTTTGGCTTTGTCTTTTTTACAAATAAACTTCTGAGATTGGCAATGCTGATGTGGCACTAAGATTAAACTTTCATGGGTTACCTGTTAATATGAGGGCACTACGCGACAAGCCAGAAAGTCACAGGTTCAATTTCTGAAGAGGTCATTGCATTTTTCACCTCTAACAGAAATGAGTACCAGGAATCTTGCAGGGGGTAAAAGGCAGCTGGCACATAAGAGTGACAATCTCACCGCCATCTGTGAGCTGTCTGTCTAGAAAATGTGGGAGCCTCAATGTCTCAGAACCCTATGGGCCTCTTACAGGAATAGCTTTACATTTTTTTTTGGGGGGGGGGCCTGTTAATATGGATGCATGCGCGCACACATTCATAATTAGTCTAATCAGGTACAGTTTGTTGTTGCTTTGTCATTTCCATGGACAATAAAAGCAAAATTAATTTAATTTACTTACAATAAGATCAAAAGCTGAAAGAAATGGCAGTGTTTCAATCGGCATTACAGTTCCAACCACTGCCAAGAAAAGTTACCTCTACAAGATTATTGTAATGGTTATTCTATTAACTATTCTTTCCACAAATTTTCAAGTTCATGGTGTGCATATTTTGTGAAACTGCAACCTCAGGATGTCCCTAAAGGGCTAGAATGTGGATGAATGGAAGGATTATCTGTGGAAACCATCATTTGAGATGGGAACTGTCAAATTTTCCTGTTGAATTTTCAAAGGGAATTTCATCTAGTAGGAATAAAGATTTGTGTGGTAAATAGCTAATAACTAAAATAAGTACTTACTTTTGAATTAAGATTCCATATTATCTCAAAACATTGGGTGGTTAAATACCAAATGGAAACACATCCACCTCAAAAGGCATAAAAATCTTTTGGCACATGGCCAAAAGACATATTGCAACTCCCATCTTTCCTTCAGCAGTAAACAATGCTGTTGGCTTGTCTAACATCAACTGGAAACATTCTAATTCTGCCAACTTCGATTTTCTAAAAAATGCTGGATATTCATTGCTGCTATTCCTTTCAGTATTACCTCGCTGATTCACATGTAACAACTTGCACATGGCAATTGGGAATGCTGAGATGCAAATCCATTCACACTTGTAACCTGTCTCAGAGATTAACTGAAGTTAACTTTCTCATCAACATGCTTGGTATGTTTCTGGTATCCACAGCGAAAGAAAACAGGTTGCAATGTAATATGCACAATATGAGGCAATACTGAATGCAGAACACATAAAATAAGGATCCTGCTACCAAATCCAACAGCAGCCAAGGGACCACTCGTTCCTTTCCTAAACCACAATGCTGACTTCATTACATCAAACCACAGCAACCCTTCTTTTTCTTTTTATTCACTTGAAGGGCGGCCCTTGTAGCGGTTTCAAAAACTTCACGAACGCCCTCCATATTCTTTGCAGAACATTCCAAGAAGCTAAATGCATTTATCTTTTCTGCCATCGCTTTACCATCCACTGTATTAATCGGACTTTGCTTCATTTTACCCAGTTCTGATATAATGGTTGGCTCACATCTCAAATCCTTTTTATTAGCGACTAGAATAATGGGTACATTAGGACAGAAATGTCTAACCTCCGGGGTCCACTTATTGAGAATATTACGAAAAGAATCCGGGGAATCTATTGAAAAACACATTAGAATAACATCAGTATCAGGATATGATAACGGTCGTAACCTATCATAATCCTCTTGACCGGCGGTATCCCACAAGGCTAATTCGACTTGATTTCCATCCACTTCTATATCTGCAACAGCACTCTCGAATATTGTGGGAACATAAAAATCCGGAAATCTATCTTTGCTAAAAACTGTTAGGAGACAAGTCTTTCCACACGCACCATCCCCTACGACAACCAATTTCTTCCGGATCGCCGACATTATACAACTGATCAGTGTACAGCGAGCACTTTCCTTCTCCCTTGGAACTATACGTTCATCCCCGTTTATTGATCGGTTTCACGAATCTCGGAACCCCTGCTCCCACAGCCACAGCATGGGCTTTAATTGCAGACCGTACCAATGATGCCAAAGTTGGAACAAACACACGTAACTAAAAACTGGTTACAACTAAAGCCCACCAAATATATAACGCAACCGATTACAGGGTAGCCAACACGAATATCAGAATCACTCTCCATGGGATACCGTAGTGATCAGGAACGTCAGGAAGGTATTGAAACTTTGATGTTTGGAACACAAATGCACTTGCTATTTGTAGAATACAAAACCTATTCGTTAACTAAGGTAATCTTCAGTACGAGTGAACATTTCTGTAACCAATGTTTTGACGTCCAAAATTTCGTTGCAATATTTATATAGAAATCTACTGCGGGAGAGAAAAATATAATTCGATACATGTAACAAAGGATCTATATGCAGTATTCGATATTCAGAGAAGAGATGGTAACATTATACTAACCACTACCTGCGAGGACACGGTATTCCACAGGCGGGAGAGAAAAACATAATTCCATACATGTAACAAAGGATCTGTATGCAGTATTCGATATTCAGAGAAGAGATGGTAACATTATACTAACCAGTACATGCAAGGACACGGTATTCCACAGGTTAAGTCTGCGAATTCCTTTCATTTTATTATTTAACGGCGCTGCGAATATAGAGGTTATCTGTGGTCGATTTTAACAAAAAAAAATGCATTCACTGGACGCGGTGTTGTAGGTACTCTAATGTGCCTGAAAAAAAGTTTGGTGGTTCTGATACAAAAGCAAAAAATACTCCTGAAATTCTGGGAAGAATTAACCTTTGATATGGCATGGACTGCATAGAAAAAACCATACAATTATTCTATTGCTACGTTGTTATAGTTTCTTTACCAATCCGTTGCCTAGCAACATTAGGGGGTTGCTGACTGGTGGGATTTATGAAGTGGGAGGAGGCCATACACAGAGTGCGTGGTGATCTTGTTCCTGTGCTTAATTAAGACATAGGGGAGTAGAGGTACAGCTCCACAATTCTTGACCTCAGCATTAAATCTTCACACCCTTCCAGCTTTACCCCCAGGGAAAGAGGCCCTGATACCCAATGGACAGGAGGCTTGGTGGACCCCTGAGCTAATTTTGGATGCTGCCCCAACAGGATCAAACCCCATGTGTCCAGCCCATAGACTATCCCTGTACCAACTAAGCTATCTTGGTACACCAAATAATAGCAAGCAATAAATACAACAATGCACTGCTACATGAATGTGTACTTCATTATATATAAATTAAGAGTATATCACTTATTTTTGTATTATTTAACATGGCAGCTGCCATGGCAAACACCAGTGTCTCCTAGACTCTTCATCTTGTACCAAGATGGGGATAGTTCCTGCTCTGCAATGCTTTGCTTAATGTGTCCATTGGTTCTGTGCGATCTCCAGGGAAGTGTCTGCTATGGTCTGTAGGCATTACAATCATCACCAGTGTCTGCCACAATCCACACAACATTGTTTCGTCATTTGGCCTGGGACGAATAGCTATTAAAAATCAGTTGCAGTAAACTTGTTGAAGGTATAACGTCCCAGAACAGAAAACATGGCGAGCCCTAGTCTTAGCATTTTCAGACCAAGAACCCATCTATGCCAAATGCAAAAAAAAGGTGGCTCCAAAAACTGACCATTTCTTGTACGAGGGTCATTCAGAAAGTAAAGACCGTTTGCACATAGCACTAGCGCCTACACTTTGACTGGGATATTTTTTTCCCATCCTCCCTACAGCCTGGTCCCGACTCAATCTGATTTTCACTTGTTCACACACCTGAAGCAGCCTCTGGGCTGTACACACGCGTAGCAGTAAAGAAGTGAAGATGGTTAAAGACTGGTTCAATGGACTTGTGGCATATGGAAAATCATCACACAATACAAGTACTTGAATCTTCATAGCCATTATATAGAAAAATGATTTAAGGTTTATACTAATGAGAAATTTTTTTTTATTTTGTTTATATTTCTTTAGTCACCAAACAGTCTTAACTTTCTGGATGACCTACATAATATAATTTTACAAGTATCCAGTACTGCTACAGTGAAATATATGTTTTATATGAGTCTGTTAACGCGTTTACCTTCAGTTTACAGAACACAGATAAGTAGAGATATGCATTTCCACCTCCCTTCTGCTGGCCTGCAAGAAGGTAATTTCTCAAATAAAACATTTGCTGTTCATTTTACACATCTTGTGTCTCTAAGAACCTTATTCAGGCAATCTCAGCAACATTAAAATTATGTAATTTGAAAGACTGTCTTCTGGAATGTGATGCCATGTATTCTGGAGGAGAATACTGCTTCCATCTTCAGGGCCAAAGAGTATGCCAAGCATGTAGCATTGCTTGTTTTGTGCTATCACTCACAAAATGATAGTACTGTTACAGTCTGCAAACTGTTTAGAATGCTACTGGCATAACTTACCATCCAACACTTCTTTCCACGCATAAATTTTGGAACAAGGAATGCAGGAAGCAAAGCTTATCAATTATGATTCAAAGCTTTCACAACAACCGCATACAATGGAATCTTTACAGGTGATCAGCTGTGCGAAGGTGGAATCAGTATGCTACATGACTGCCTCATCCTACCATTTCCTCAGCAGTCTGCACTTGCTGCCAGATCAGAAACGTCGGACACTAACTACACCTTCATTGCAAAGCTTACTGACTCATGAGAGCACAGAGCAATCTATGGCTTCATGGGCCTCTTCCACATAATATCAGCCAGTTTTTATATTTGTACAAGGAGTAGTTACAAACTGGGTTTGTCATATGAGATCAGACTTGATGCTATCTTGATGAGCCATACATTTTATTTGAATCACATGTTGGGAACCACTCAACCAAATGACTCACATCTTGTACACCACACACCCTGAAATGAGACGAAAGGAAATGTAAGTAAACACAAGATTCATCAGCTCAGCAGAAAACTCATCTGACCTTAAGGAGAATAACTCTTGCTAAATGCCATCCTACAAACATTGGTAAAAGGTAAAGCAGCCCCTGTAACTGGCCATGGAGGCCCATAGGGTTGTGAAACATTGAGGCGCCCACATTTTCCCTAGACAATCGGCTCACAGATGGGGGTAAGGTTGTCAAGACTTATGCGCTGGCCGCCCTTTATCCCCAGGAAGATTCCTGGTACTCATTTCTGTTAGGGACTGAGTAGATCCCAGGGCCATAGTGCGGCTGGAAGGATTAGGTCAACTGAAAAATCCAATGACCTCATCAGTAATCAAAACCGTAACCTTCCACCTTGTAGCATAGTGCCTCAACCAACTATGCTACCACACAATTCCCTAAAAACAATGTCCCATTATAATAACTTTTAAAATTGTTGAAACAAATATGCATTTTACAGCAAATTCCATAGTAAATGAACATGTACGGGAAATGGCCCTTCCTACGCAAAACTAATGGCATTCACTTTCATAGCTACATCTATAACAGATAAATTATGCAAACATCAGACACTGGCTAAGCATGTGGCAAGAAAAAAATTCCTACAGAATTTTTGTGCAACTACATACCTGTGCTATGGTAAAGCAACTTCAGTCACCATTACCCGAGAGAAACTCTCTTTCGAGGGCAGCACCCATCATGTTCCAGTCTCCATCATCAATCTCATCTGGAGGCTCATCACTGCCACAACTATTATTATCATCATCATCATCATCATCATCATCTCCAAAGTCCAGGTCACTTGGCAGTGCCTCCCCACGACGGAACTTTGTGCTCGGCATATCATCTTCCTCATCCTCCTCCTCATTGTCCGATTCGGTACATGTTCCAGCTGCTGGTCGCTTACGTTTTGATGGGCTCGACTCGCCCCAGCCATGTGGATGTTCACCTATACAAGCATTATTAGATTTAACCCTGCCAAGCCCTGAAATCAGAACTACCTGCTACAAATGCCAGTGCTGTTTGGGGGTAAATGCAATTCCACACATAAACCCATGATACTTCTCAAGTGGCCTTCAAACAATCAGCACCGAATGAAAGCCTGTTTTCTTTCCTATAAATGTCAGTATATCACACTTGGTGCCATCCATTGACAGAAATGCTTTACTAATTGAGTAAAAATGAGCCCATCTTCTCAGCTGTCACAGTTTTAATGGAGGTACCCTGACAAGATTTAATGGGTAACTGGTGTGTGATGGTTGAGGTTTCTTGTGGCACACTGGACTTGAAAACTATATTGGCAGAAATGATATACCCCACTCCACAATGACTGACCCGGGACTGAACCAATGCTTCTATCAAGAGAATTTCAGAACTCTGCATTTTCTTACCCTCATTAACAGACGGACAGCAGCTAGCTTCACATTCCGTAGGGAAACAGGCCACAGTACCCACTGGACACCCACTGGTCTGAACATGGTGGAGTGAAAATCACTCAAAATGCTGGGAAATGAACCCCAATAATCAAGCAATCCAGCCTGTGGCCTAGTCTTTAAACTGACTGAGACATTCCATCTTTCATTAACAAAAATTATCAAACAAATATTCGGTTAATATTTTGTTGCCCCCCATGTCTCAGTTATCTCTGTATTCATTCTTCAGTGGCTATGTCTGCCTTAATAATGGTGAAGCAATCCATTTCTGAATGGGAAGATCCTACACGGGAGACAGTGCTGCTCCCAGTGGCATGAATAGTCAGCTCTTTATGCTGCTTCTGACATGACACCATTTCTATATTTGTAGGATGTGTTTCATCTAGTGTAACAACTGAACTAACCATCAAGCTCTAAAGTCTTGTACATCAAACTCCATGACACAACAGGAAATTGTAGGTTTTTTCCACGTCTTGTGCTACTTCGCAATGGCTACAGACAACTATAAAATATGAAGGTTACTCCCCTCTGGAATGTGACGTCATGAAATGAAGCAGAAAGTTACTAATGTTACAAAGAAACAGGCGGTCTTCATCTTCACACCCGTATCACCCCCCCCCCCAAAAAAAAATATTTGGCACAGCCCTTTCAGGGGCCATCATCCCATATCTACCCACTTGGAGCCTGATTTTCTTTGCTTATTTCTTCACATCTGAACTGTTATTTTCCTTCGTGGATAGCTAATATACCCTGAAGACATAGGCAGCAGGCTCCCCCAAACGCTGGCAACTTTCTACCACACTACATGGTGTTACACTCAGAGATGATGGTAATCTTTGCATTCACAGCTGTCAGCCTCACGTCTCAAAACTACAGAATGGTGATATGTAAAGACAATAGATTTTGATTGTTTTGACAATCACTAGGAGAACAATCTTATCACTGGTAATCACGTACCATCAGATTCTTACCTGACAAAGTGTCAGCAGAGCTACTACTGGACTCATCAGCCGACTCCACATCCTGCGTTCGACTTTTGCCCACTTCGTCCTGCTGAGGTGCTGTCTTGTCAGCTTCTCCATCACTCTCTGATTCATTGAAGATGTCTTCCACCTCTCTATCCATGTTCGCTATGTCCTCCGAGGAAAAAGACATGAGAGGGTTTATGGTGTCCATGAACCTTCCACTAGGTGTGCGTCGTCTTGGTGCTGGTTGCTGGTGTGTAGGGATGTGCTCGGGGCTGCCACAGTGGGCTGGTGGGTGTCTGTTTGCAGCCCCACCTCGCAATAAAGGGAACAGACTGCAATATTTGGGTCATCAGTGTTGAAATAAGTGACAATACAGTTACAGCTAAACTTGCACTAGTTTGAGTAAGACTGTATTACAAAAGTTACAAAAACAATTTCCCTGTGAATGACTCAGCACATCATGAATGTGTATGGGAAGTGGAGGTATAGCGCCATAAATTTCTAGATATAGGTGAGGGGGTCAGCTTTACTTTACCCCACATGAAAGTCCTGTAAATTAAGCAAGTGCCAATTTCTAAACTCAGATATTTCCATTTTCATAAAATGGAACAAACGTACTAACTTGGTCCAATATTTTGTTAACCTTTAAAGAACATATGACCAGGTTATCAACACCTAAGCGAGTATGCAAGAGCAAATGGCAAAGTAAGGTTTCCATCAACATACCAAATGTGCTTATACAGTCAATCAATACTCAGATTGAATTTTTATTTTCCTACCACTACATGTTTTGGACCTAAGGAGACCAGCATCAGGCAGCAGACAGTGTGCCCTGTGTATGCTTATATTTTATTCTGGTCTGGTGCATTAGAAATTAAAACTACAAATCCATATTTTGTTTGCCAGGTGGGGGTTTAAATGTCCCACACTTAAAAAAGGTTAACACATTCTTTTACTTGTGAATGATCTTTCTTGGAAAACCAGATGAATATATCAATTACAGACATCCAAATTTTTCACTACATACACCATTTACTACTTGTTCCATTCTTACCAACTGAACCCATGAATAACCATATACATTCCTTGATGGGTTGGATCCATTTTAATGAGCCTCACAAAGATATAAGACCACTCACCGTTCATCAACTTTCTCCCACCGTTCTCCACAGCACCAGAGCCAGTCAGGTGTAACAATAGTGACATTACGTGCCACTCGACGTGCAGAATTCACCTTAGCTGTCCCAGGCCTTACTGCAACAAGATGCGTAGTTTCTGGAGTCAAGTCCTGCGTCACCTGAGCTCCCATAGACCGTGCCACTAGATACGCCCTGCTCTTCTCAAGCGGAGTGTGCGTCGGAACAAGCCCACTGAACACAAGACTGGTCCCTGCCAGCACTTTACATCTCACATAGGGGATCACGGATTTAAGGTCTGGAACTTCACTGTTCAACTCATCATAGAGATCATAAAAAGCTTTATGCACTGTTTTGAGGATCTCCTCCAGGTACATAAGGTAATCGTCTCTGTCCTCCACTTCTACCAAATCATCCTCTCCCCCTCCTTTACTTTCCCCTCCACCTGTATCTCCAACCACTTCCCCGCTTCCCTGAGGGTTTCTTCCACTCTCAATAGCCTCCTCCCCCTTATCTACCTCCTTTGGAAGTTCTCTTGCAGCAGTTCTATATGGTTTTGTTTCACTATCCCCAAGAGCTACAGCTTTAGACTGCGGAGAATCCTCTTCATCAGACAGGTCCAGATCACAAGTCAGATCACCTGAAGCCGTTCTGTCCCCCTCCTGCTTCTCAGCGTCCATACTTACATCCTCCTTACTCAACTCAGCCCCTTGTTCAGCATCTCCAAAACTTTCCTTCGTCCGGTTCTCCCCCAGTTTTGTGTTAGTTTCTGGGCAGGGCTTCGACACACTCTTCTTCTTAACACAACCATTAGCGCTGTCGCCAGACCCCAGTCGACTGTCTTCACTTAATTCACCCTCCTCCCGTTCGCTTTCCCCCCCATGCGTTCGACACTTTCCACCGGATTCCTTCACTTCGCCATTTTCCTTCACTTCACATTTTACTGAATTCTGCTCTTTAGTGTCTGCAAATGTAACAACATTTCATGAGTACTCAGCTTTATCATTTAAACTTTGATAGCAAACAATTAACATTCTTTATGATTATTATTTTGGACTTTGTCCATTATTGGAATTTTGCTGCACCATAGCTCAAGCGGTTGGTAGCCAGCTTCCCACCACGTCAGCCAAGGTTTGGTCATGTGGGATTTGTGGTGGACAAAGTGGCACTGGGGCATGGTTTTTCCGAGTACTTCGGTTTGCCCTACCAATCTTCATTCCAACTGCTCCACAATCACCATCTTCCATTATCCAGGGCCGGTACGATAGGCCAGCAGTGGCTGCAGTACCAAGTGGGCTGGTACGATAGGCCAGCAGTGGCTGCAGTACCAAGTGGGCCGGTACGATAGGCCAGCAGTGGCTGCAGTACCAAGTGGGCTGGTACGATAGGCCAGCAGTGGCTGCAGTACCAAGTGGACAAAGTCTCACCCCACTAAGAATAATTATCTGAATTTATTAAGGCAATTACGTTTCTGAAACTGGTTCTATTTCTAATGTTATATTTTAGCGTCCTGTTGCACTGATTTAAGTCCATGATTTATTTTATCCGTCTTCTAGTGCATACATTTATTTATCCCCTCTTTTCACTCTCACTACATGTTTCGGCACCAATGTGCCATCTTCAGGTGCTTATCCAATCCACGACAAACTAATTCACTGCATGCCTTGTCTTTACATACTAAAATAACTAAAATATATATTTATCATATATACTGACAAATGTCAAGTGTTAAAATATGCTGTACAGTTTTAGTATTTTAACACTTGACATTTGTCAGTATACAGGGTGTCCCAGGAGGAATGTGCCAAACTTCGGGAGGGTGTTCCTTATGTTAAAGTATGCCGATATAACCCAAAACACCTATGTCCAAAGTTGAACGGTTACGGAGATAATGGCCCAAGAAAAGTGTGGTCTTCTGGCAGGTCCACGCACTATACGTACCTGTCAGCTGAGACCCTTATCTGTTTGTCCTTTCCTTGA